TTTTGGGCATCGTTATAACAGATGGGTCCTTGCAAGTCAGCAAAACGCTTTAGGGCCTTGTAAATGCGCGCGATTTCGAGCAAAGCAAACATATAGAAATTATAGTTTTCGCTATTTGTTGACGTTTGTCAGCGTTTAAGAGTCCTTCTCACGAAAAAAGCATTTTCTTAAAAATTCGTAGTTTTTTTTCCTTCAAATTTTTTCAGGGCCACAATTGATTAACTAACTACCCGGACTCTGAATTTCATGGTCATTGAAAAACTGTGACATTATCTTCTATAAGCCCAAACTTGAGTAAACATTGAAGATTTTTAGCGTTTTGGCTGAGTTTGTGCTTTGGGAGTTGTCTATTGTTTCTAGTCTGTCATTATACAGCATTCTTGTTCAGCACGCGTGCAATGACCACGCTTGGCTGACTTCCGAATGCTCACCGAGATATTCCCGTCACGAGTTGGTTTAATTATTGGCTTGCATTAAACCTATGAAAAAATGATATTTTTTTAATAGTAAGTAGATTTAGTGTGTAGCACTTCTTGATTTTTTTGCAAAGGCACAAGAAGCACGAGAATTGATTAAAAATTGTGACTTAAACCTCTATGTATCACGCGATGGCCTGTCTCACTGTACCAAAATTATTATATCTCGGTGAGCATTCGGAAGTCAGCCAAGCGCGGTCATTGCACGCGTGCTGAACAAGAATGCTGTATAATGACAGACTAGAAACAATAGACAACTCCCAAAGCACAAACTCAGCCAAAACGCTAAAAATCTTCAATGTTTACTCAAGTTTGGGCTTATAGAAGATAATGTCACAGTTTTTCAATGACCATGAAATTCAGAGTCCGGGTAGTTAGTTAATCAATTGTGGCCCTGAAAAAATTTGAAGGAAAAAAAACTACGAATTTTTAAGAAAATGCTTTTTTCGTGAGAAGGACTCTTAAACGCTGACAAACGTCAACAAATAGCGAAAACTATAATTTCTATATGTTTGCTTTGCTCGAAATCGCGCGCATTTACAAGGCCCTAAAGCGTTTTGCTGACTTGCAAGGACCCATCTGTTATAACGATGCCCAAAATAAAGAGATGAATCTCATAGTTTATTAGATATAATCCGTGTAAAGTTTGCTTATCATTTTCGCATAAATTATGACCTAAATTTGGAAACCGCTGAATTTCTCGAATTGGGTCTTTGCGATTTTGGTGAAACTCTGTTCAGCGCAAGGCACTAATGCGCACTATGTGTAGCCGAGAGATTTTCACGAAAAAATGCCGGCAACAGCAGATTTTCGACTCAGACCTCAAAGGGGCGTGGCATTATAACCACGTGACATTTACTCCGATCGCCAAAAATTTTATGTTATATTGTAGATTGATCTATATGTTATCCATTCTATGTGTTAGACTTACGATAAAAGTAAAGGTGGGGATACCAGAGAGCTTCAAAGTAGGATGGTACCCCACCAAAAAAACTGGGTCGAGTTATCTTAATTTATTTAAAATTGTTTATATAATAATACGTCAAGGTGCTCCCTTGGGTCTAGCTGTACAGATGAACTAATTTGTATTCAACTTTGGACTTGTGACCTCGCATAATTAACTGATTAACAGTGCGTGAAAATGACAAGACTTCAATAGTTTTTCATTTCCTCGAGATAGAAAGGAGAAAACAGTTCTGTAATAGTCAGACAAACTTGAAATAGAGTTTACAGCTCGATTCGACTGGCATGTTTCGAGCAATGTTGTAAAAAATTGGTGATAGTAATACTTTTTCCTTAGCAAAGCGATTGCGAGAAGGAAATACTGAAGGGAAAGCGCGCTTTTATGTTAAACACAAAATATATTGTTTACTATCCAATCAGGGTTAAAAGAGCCCGGGCAAGTCTAGGCAAGCCTATTTTTCCTATTGTAGTGGAGTGACGCTCATTAGTAAACCTATCCACTTCATTATATATGGAGGAAGACACTTAATTAGTATGCAGGAAATCCAAATTAGTATGCCGGAAGGCAGTGAGCAGGCTTTTATGCCGTTCAAACAATAAAAAATACGGCAACCAACCGGAATGCTTCGTCAAACGAGACAGCCAATGAGCGTCTTTCTAATTCCGGTCGACCAATCAAAACAACTATGACATCATAGTACCCCGGAATACATATGACATCATCTTCCCAAAATATCTAAAACCTGTCAAACCGGTTATACCAACCATGACCGCCACAAGATAAAAATAGAACATGACATCATTGATAAACCCGTCAAACTGGATATGCTTAATGAGATTCCACCGCAAGTTAATGAGATACCACAGCATTTTATTCATGAGATCAAGGTAATAGCCTATGACGTCACCTAGTTAATGTATTCCAGCGCACGTTAATGAGATTCCTGCGCAAAAAAGAGGAGTAACCGGTGCGCGCTATACTACTGTTATCCATAAGCGTGGTTCTTAATAATTTCTAGACGCCTTCGTTCTTATCGAAGTTCTCCTAGGAACCAATGGGGACAAGCCGGTTCACGATTCTTTTTAGCGCTTTCCACCATCCCTGCTTTACTTCCTAAACTCCAGAACTGATCTTTTATCAACTACCGTTAAAATCAGTTTTGTACAAGGTATCTCACTCCATGAGCGTGCACACCCCGTAGTGAGAGGTACTTCTGCTGCCACCGGGGATGGATTTTATTTTCGTCGCCATCCAGATCTGGGTAGTACTTCTGATTGGTTGGAGCAAATTTTCAAACAGTCAGAAGTACTACCCAGAGCTGAGAAGTGACATTTCGTCAGTATGGAGTTTCTGCGCTCGTTTCTCAGACGTCATTTCACGGGAAACCGGTGTTGGCGTCGCGAAATGTCGGCTGTTTTCTCAGGCGAAGCTGGGTTATCTACGCGTGGAAATGCCACACTTGATGCGCGTATCCTGACAGAACGGCTCTACGTACGTATGATAGAAATTTATCTGCAATGATGCTAAAGTAAGGTGATTATTTGCCTAAACAGTGTGCGAGGGAAACGAGGGAAGAAAAAGCCCCCTTTGAAGTTTCATTACGGTTAACTTTTTGTGGGTATTTACCCTGAAAACTAGGTTGAACCAGGTTGAACACTGGCTTACAAGATCCGGAGCCGTGGCACGAAATTTAACATCATTCAAACTGAGAAGACTGCCACCAAATTGGGTCATGTAGCATCTGCTCGGAAGAGAAGTCACCAATGGTGCCTAAATCTGACCCCAAACAATACTAATATAATGCTAATGCCAAAGATGTACCTAGTATATGGCCTTGCGTCTCCATGAGTTCTCCGTAGCTCAAGTGGATAGAGCGCCCGCCCGGTGTTTGGGAGGTCATAGGTTCGAATCCTGTCGATGACTCAGACACTTTCTTTGTCCCACGTTCGTGACATGCTGATTATTTTATGTTCACAATTAAAACAATTGAAAGAATGACGTCATTGTTTTCTGCGACCGAATAGAAGAGACCTTACGAGCTGCTCCTACACAACAAACCAAATAAGTAAAAAATAGAATTAAAGCCTCAAAACATTAAGATAGATATGAAAACACAGCATATACAAAAGGAGGAAGTGATGGACAAATGTGAAGAAGATAAAAACGGATTGCAATTGCTGTTTTGAAGACTTGTCAACTTGACAGTTTTTCAAAGTTCGTTTTTGTTGTTTGTAGCGTTTGATACAATGCTTTGGGTGAGATATTTGTTTGATGTGAAGCTGTGAATTGGTCTTTTCAAGGAAAATCCTTGCTAAAGTCAAGTTTATGTAGCCCCGTCATAGGCAATATCAACCTAATAAACTACACAGGCGTGATAAAGCTCCTTTAATATGAGAAGGATTTTCACCTCCAACGATACAACGACAAACACATTTGGTAACTGACGTTACTATTCACTGCCGTCGCATTATTCCTACGATAGGAAGGACATTGGGAACAAGATTGTCCCGTTATTGTTTCTTAAAGGTTCGGAGATCTTGAATTTAGCAAGAGCTTCAGAAAGCAGAGATGAAATCTGAGAGAAGCAAAGACAAGAAACTCATCACAAAAGACGAGTGAAGTTTATTACACATACCTAAACTGTAGTAAAAAAAAATGCTTGTTTACCCACGAAGCACATAGGAGTTCATATGAACTCGTTTAAACGTGTCCGTGCGTTCCAGATCGAATTGGAATTTGGAAGTGTTGGTTTTTGAGGAAAGGGGAAAACCAGAGTACCCGGAGAAAAACCTCTCGAAGAAAGGGAGAGAACCAACAACAAACTCAACCCAAATATGGCGTCGATGCCAGGAGTTGAACCCGGGCCATATTGGTGGGAGGCGAGTGCTCCCACCACTGCGCCACGCTGTAGTAATACTGCAGCTTTTCAGCCAGTGACCCCGATAAAATATCCAAGTTCTTTCAACAGGCGTCGAGGTTTTAACTCTGATTACTACAGCAGCATACTGCTATAGGACAGAAATTTCTACCAGGTGGCTTGTTTGCAATGACATAAATATGGAGCTAGGCTGGGTTGCCAGCCACTTCTGGGGAAATGAGCCCTCCTCCCCTCCTCCCGCTTCCACTTCTCGGGAAGAAAAAAGATCGGATGCGAGAGAGCGGCTACCACTACCACTAGCACTGCCACTGCCACTGCCACTACCACCAACATTACCACTACTACTACTGTCACTACTATTGCCATTGCCACTGCTACTGCTACTACTACTGTCACTGCCACTACCACTACTACAACCACTTCCAGAATCCTTCAGGTTTTTGCTTTCTTGTGCAAATTAAGTTATTTATTTAACCGTCATTGGGATTACAAAGTTTAATGATGCAAGAAAAATCAAATGAATTCCGGTCTTACTAGTAAAAAGACGTCATCGTGCAAATAACCTTAGTTTTAAATGAAGAAAAATCCACTGCAATAACAACCTCACTAGTCTCTTCATTTAAATAATAATAGTTTATTATTACTAAGACTTGTTTACTTATTTCTATGAAATATTCTAATTCTATATTTCTTCCAATACTAAAGCTGTATCCCCAGTCAGTCCAGCCTCCAAAAATGTCTGTGTGACTTCAGAGAGTTGTTTTCTCGGAAACGTCGTTGAGATGACATAACGAGATGACGAGTAACCAAGCCATTCCGCGAAGACATATAACATCTACGGGTAAAAGAGAGAGAATTAAAACAGTTTAACGTAATCCAAAATTAAACCGCAAAACAGCGGTATGTTGAGGTTGACCAATGCAAACCGAACTCGTGAAACGAAAATTGACCAAGGTCAAACGATAGAAATACACAAATTTGGCCGTATTAACGAGGGGTTTTTCACAAGAAAATGTATGGTCGTTTAGCCGGGCGGCCAAAAAGACGTGGCCGTAATAACAAGGTGACCATATTACTGAGGTAGTCGTAAGGAGGGTTCCACTGTAGGCAAGAGCAAAGCAAAGTATGTCAAAAACAGGAAGTTATTTCCTAGTTCAAATTTTATCTTTTTATCTTCTGTCTAAAGGAACACACGTCTTTTGAATGAAGAAGACTCGGACGCCAAAATTAGGAACTTCGAGAAGCTCGCAGCCATAAAGCGATGGGAAAAAATTAGGATCCATAATTAACAGTACGTATCAAGAAAAAAAAGCTAAAAAGATTTTTATTCTATATCTTCTTGTTTGGGAGACTGGAACCAAGTTCTGGACAAGCGATCCTGACAGTCATTTGACTGGCGTCGAACCCGGGGTTTTACAGGCCGTAAAGTAACTTTAGCTAAGTTACAATCATTTTACGTAAGCTGTTTCACAATGGCATTTTTAAATGTAAGGCCGAATGAACAGTTAAAGGAGCAATATCGACCACAGAGCTCTTCTGCACATGAAGGCCAGGGAGGAAGAGCTTACGCGCGGAGTCAGAAGGGTAAGCACTGGGGTCGAGATTGTCCTTTTGGCTCAAGGAAGGTTTCCGTACATGTGTTCAGAATTCAAATACCAAACTGCGGGGTCTCCTGGTGCAAAACTCCTGGACCACCTTGTCTGTATCGATACGCGTGTAACTGTACGCATGTAAAAGCGGGAGCGCAGAGCGTGCCTCTACTTGCATAGTAGACGTTGACACAAAGACAGTAGAGAGTTTTAGATCGGAGATTACCGCGAACCTCGAACCGCGGTTTGCGGTTACCCGTTTGCGATTCGACGTTCAAACATACTTCGATTTAGATTGGCTGTAGATTAAAGAAGTGGATTCTGGTTTTTTTTTCCATTTAGAAATAGAAGAAATATCAATCAGTGAAAATAAAAGAAATTTACGGTAACACTGTGTGATGTAGCAGCAAAGAACTGTAAATTCTCACATTAGTTCTTCTTGCAAATTTACGGCCGCCATTTTGAATCAGCAGCCATGAATGGCACTTGTTTTCAAGATCCAATAGGATTTATCAGATTTAGCATTTCGCCCGAATTTGTGCCTCTGTTAATGGATAAAGACTTGGTCCACAAGATGTTTGTATCATTACGTGAGATAAAACAAGAATTATACGCTAAAAGATTTCAGGTAAATGACCTACGTGAAAACCTACCTCCCCACGTTGAAAACGCACGTCGTAAACCTCAAACGTGACGCGAAAGACTTGTCACGTGACCTTCAGCGGTTAAAGGTTCGCGGTAAACTCGATCTAAAACTCTCTAGTTACTAAAGCCAAGACGCGGCGAGACGCGGCGAGACTCGGCGTGGCCTGTCTGCCCGTGCAGTCTTGTGACATCTGTCTATACTTTAAATGTAAAACTAGAGTGAAGGAGTGCAGCAGGGATCTGTCTTGACGAGCTGCATGCCATCAATGATACCCTTGGCAAGCACTTGGAAAATGAAAACACACAAAAAAAGATTGTGACTCTTTTTCAATTTGGCCATTCGAAAAAAAAATCACCCAAAAATCTTTTAACCCACGCTTAACTGGCTTACAGTCAGGTATGCTCCTGACAACCTAGTCTATTCGTGCTCCGCACCCTTTTTTTTTTAGCAAACCGTTGTTTCTCAATAGTTGGAATCACAAGTACAGTACTTTTTTTCCTGGAAAAAGGATCGACACTAGTGTTAAGAAAGCAAGTAAAAGAAATCATTTTGATGACTAAGATAATTTTTTTTACTTGCTTTCTTAACTCTAGAAGCAGAGCTTTAAAACCCTTAAGCACTCTTCCTCTTGTTTACTCTAGTCATGACAGCCATAATCTCGCCAAATAGGGCAATTTTTGTAAACGTGGCTTTGGAGCAAACTTTCTTTCCGTTTACAGCTCGAGATTTCTCTTGCTCTGTTATAGTGGAGCCTTTAATTGCTTGCCGACGAAATTCTCTCTCCAGAATCAAGCTGGAACTTGTCCTGACTTTCTTTTTCACTTCTTGTATTGGAATAAGTAGACTACGCCTCAGAATTCCGAGCGAGCTGTTTTTTCGGAGAACGCTTCTTAGCAAACAAGGTATTGTCTTTCTAGGCCTTTCCTAGACTTGCTACAAGTCGAGCTCTTGGCGAGCGGAGCGAGCCTTTTTTGGCCGTGAAGCGGCCAATTCGGCGCGAAGCGGCCTTATTTTTCTTCTTGCTCCGGAGGCACACAATATAGTCGTCTCCTTTCAGAAAACGGCTGAACTGCAGAATACCCTACCACTTGACCAATTTCCTACGTAGCCGGCTACGTGGTACACAGGAACCAAATACTAATTTTACTAGGTAAAATGATAAATAATTAAAACATAAATGTGCGTGCTACATGTGCAATAGGAAGTGCAAAACCTTTAGTGAGTAACTCCTCTTTCGTGTAGAATTAATCGCCTACTCATTTCTTATCTAATCTCTAGGCAAGCGATAATAAGGCCGCTTTTTAGAACGTTCCTATTAATACCCTAGATCCCTCCGTAGCTCATAGCCATGTTTTAAAATAGCCTTCCATCTTTTTCTGCGTACCGTCCTACTTATTCGTCCTTCCCGAAATACACCAAAGAAGCTGTTGTTCGTGAAAGATGTCTTTCTTTCAACTCCTTCATGAAACTCGCGAAATATATCAAACTTTTGCTAAACGTCAAAACAAATTTTTCTTGTCATTTTTTGTAGTGTTCTTACCATAATTATTTAGAGCAACAGAAAGGAACAACATGGCGGTAAAGAAAGTTATCATATGTTTGTAACCAAAGATGACTTGGACTTTAATTTTCGACCTTCCAAATTTTAACTTGTGGTTTTTTGAGAACGAAGCTGATGAAGAGACTGAATCGTAATCTTATCAAAGAGGAGGATTCTAGTCAGTAATCAAAAAATTTTATCGTAGGTCACAGGCCTTTCACAGTTTTTACCGTCACAGCTTATTTTCCATTTGCGGTGTATTTGTTTTGTTTTGTTTTGTTTTTTGTTGTTGTTGTTTTTTCAAAAAATAACAAAACAAAAACACAAAGTGAGTCATTTTTATCTATTTTTTGTCAAAAAAATGGAATTTAGTACGTAATTTGTATATTTTCATACATCCTCTTATAAGTTCAAAGTCTAACGAACTCCCACAGTTTCAGGGCTTCTGATATTTCGCGCGGTCGCGGACCCGCGAAATTCAGGTATTTCCGCGAAATCCCGCGAAATTCCCAAAAAAACGCGAAATACCGCGAAATCCGCCAGAAATATTTCCAAAAACATGACGGCAAAACATATTTAATACTTATCTTGGCTATTAGACCGGTTTTATTCACCCCAAACGTCCAAATTTAGCTTGAACCTTCGTCACTGCAACGAGTAACCAACGTCCCAAAACTACCAGGCGTTTTTAGATGAACGTTGCGAAAAACTGGGCACTAACCATAATGTTAATAGCTTTAAAATTCGCTCATTTCTCGAGCGAACTGTTGAAAGAGCAAATGATTATCCCTGTTAAAAAAAAACGTTCACCAACGCTGGTCATATCGACGCAAAATTGATCGATTTTAGCGAAATTTGCCAAAAAANTTCGAAAATTGACTTTTTTCCGCTAAAATCCTGCGAAATGGGCCAATTTTTCTGCGAATTTTGACTTTTCTTCCGCGAAAATCGCCCGAAATCGGCCGATTGTTCCGCGAATTTTGACTTTTTTCCCGCGAATTCGGCCGATTTTTCCGCGAATTTGCCCCTGAAAATCCCGCGAAATTTTGCTTTTTTTCCGCGAAATATCAGAAGCCCTGCAGTTTGGGCCGTCGCTAAAACAAATGAATGGTTAAGAAAAATGGATAACGCAATGTAATTAACTACGAGAAGCGCAAGTGTAACAGCTGATTAAATTCCTTCAAGGAAGCCAAAACATCTATGTGCTTGTGTATTGTGCATGTATAGTAAGCATCACCTTGATTTGCGACTCCACTGTAAATCTCCGTCTCTTAACTGCTCCATCAGGGCATCGGAGGGCAACAGTTATCACCTAATGATTCAAAAACAATTTTATTTACTCAATAAATAAATTCATTCCTTCACTAACCCCAACCACGCTTGTGGAGCGCAAAGAAAATTTTCGTCTAATAAGATGTTTTGGGTACACCCGTTCAACCTGGTCAACCACACCTGTCGAGGTCTTCTCCCTCTCTATTCTTTTCAAACAACAGCATGGGTTCTTTTATATCCCACAAGAGTCAGCAGTGGAATTACTGTGCACAGAGGAAAGCCTGAAGTTATTTCATCCTTACACATGGTAGAATTCTCTTTCAGAGAGCAAATCAATTAAGCTGTTATCTTTTCAGTTCCAAGATCAGACTTACTTCTTGTATAAATGGTGGCACAAAAAATCAAATTATATTCATTTAATATACTGTTGCAAAAACAAACTGCAAATGTCACACACACACTCACACTTACACACACACTTTATTATTATTAACAATCTACGTTAACATAAAGTCCATTTCCGCCCGCAAATAGCAGGTGCTAGTCGAGGCGGGCGGAGATAATAGGTACAGTGGTCATTAATAGATTACAAATAAATAGATAAATAAATAAATAAGTAACTAGATATATATATATAAATAAGTGAAATAAAGCTTAAACATAAATGAATAACATTTACAAAATTAACTAGGATGTTGGTAATCCTAACTTGTTGTATTTACAACATGGCTAGTCTGCATTTCACATCGGACTGGTACAGGATATAGAAGTCGAATGGGCACTGAATTATTTAAACTGAGAGAAAAAAGGTGGCACCATGACTAACACATTCGATGTGGGGGGACATTGATTTTTAACCTAACCGCTGGGTGCTACACTAATCTGCAATATACATTTAATGTATATTGCAGATTTATGAATCCCCCTTTAAATGGGTTTATATCAACCGATATTATAGCATTAAATGTTTTAAAAAGAAATGAAAGATAATTTTTTTAAAAAAACATACCCCTCTCTCCTGTAGACCTGGTTCATCAGGAAGCTTCTTGAAAGTACATGGATGAAATAGAAAAAACAAACAAACAGACAAGTGGATTACCATCAAACAAAATGAAGCAAAACTACAAAAACATTATTTGCAGCTTGACACTAACCTTGCTTCCCTGATGGTAAAGTATTGAAATTTTGGACCAGAAAAAGTATTGCAAACTTGACTTTTAATTTCAATCTGTTTTATTTTTCGAAAGCCACTCTTATCTCCACTATTTTTTCGTAAAAAAGAAAAGTCACTTTTAACAAGATTTACAAACAATTTTAAGGAACTTATTCACCATCATAAACAATCAACACTGTGACTAAACTGGAATTCTCTATAGTGGATAGGATAAAAAGAACACTATCTTTAACCTCATAAGTTTGTTTCCTTTGTCGTAAAAACTCTTGTTTGGATTTCCAGGTAGATACATTGCCTTGTGTAGTGTCACTGGTGTTTACTGCATCACTTCCTTCCTCTGAACTATCATTTTCATCATCCAAAAACTCTTGAGAAAAAAAGTCATCTTCACCTTCAACCTGGCCATCATCCTTAAAAAATAACAAAATGACACTTTTGGAAAATAATCTAAGGTCTTGTCACCCTAGCTTTTAAAATTGAAATTAAAGGGAAAAAAAAGATACTGTATATTTGTTATAGAAACATAATTATACTACATGCAGTAAAGGTTCTGCATATTAGTGAACTGCACCCTTGACCTTAAAAAGAGTCTCAGCTTAGAAGAGGTGATGTCAGTGGGCTGTATTAAAAAAAGGGTGCTTTCCAAAGTCAGAACTGGCTCGGCAAATTAAGGCCAGACCAGTCACTATGACAATGAAATAAGCTTTTTCCAAGAGTTTTTGATGAAAACCCATCTCCTTTGCATACTACTACTTGTATGTAGGATTTGATTGATCTGGTTGGGTAGTTTTAATTAAAAGTGAGATCCTCATTGCGATGGGAATGGCCTCGCCAGTCAGTTCTGACAAATGAAAAGTGTCCAAGTGTTCAAGTTGGCAGGTATATATGCAGATAGTTCAGGGGGAGAATTGAAAAGCATCTTGGAGCAATTTAGTTCTTTTTGGTTCAACTTTC